TGTGTGTGTGTGTGTGTGTGTGTGTGTGTGTGTGTGTGTGTGTGTGTGTGTGTGTGTGTGTGATTGTAAGTATATATATATATGTACATATATATATATGTGTGTGTGTGTGCGTTTGTGTATATTATCTACATATTAACAAAGCTCTTTTCCCTCTCCCCCCTTCTTTCCTGCAGATATGAAGTGATCACAACACCCTCTAGCATTTACATGGTCATGGAGTACGTGGCTGGCGGTGAATTGTTCGAGTACATTGTTAAGCACGGGAAACTGTCAGAGGATGCAGCCCGCACATTCTTTCAGCAGATCATCTCCGGTGTGGAGTATTGTCACCGACACAAGGTACCTTCGGTTGTGTGCGGTTGCAGTATACGGCTATGGGTTTCACTGATATGTGTGCATATTGTAAGTGTTGGTTGCCATGTATGCCTAATGGAAGGATTGATTGCTAGGTGAGCGTAATGGACGTGTGGTTATTAGTTGTACACAATGGAGATGTTTCTATAATGGAGGCGATTGTTGTTGTGTGTGATGGCACATGTTTGATGAGCTCAGTGTGCCGGTGTGTGCGTAGGAATGTATGTGTTGATATGCTTTCTGTTTAGGCTTCTCGATTCCGGCGATGTTTTGTGATATGGAGCATCCATCGAATTGTAATTCTGCCGCCAACAGTCTTCACAGCCTCTGATAGGGTTTAGGATTTAGTGTTTTAGAGAGTTTTGGGTTTTAAATCGGATATACACTTCTGTAGCTAACACTATCACTTCTGTTACTCTATCGATTCTCAACTACGAATGATTCCACGTGTGTAGTACGATTGGTGCATGTAAGTGCATATGTACACCTCTTTTGTTCTATGGCTACATCGCAATGCATAGTGTGGACATTAGAAAAACTGTCGATGCGGGAGAGGACATGGGGCACGCTTTGCTAATACTAAAACAATATACAGATACATGAGGTGCGCCAAAACCATTGATCCTCAGCCTTACATGGTTTACGCGTCTTTTACACCATCATTGCGATGCAAAACCCGCGGCGTGTGGTCTGTGGGACCATCGCTACATCCAACTAAACAATGCACTCGCCGTCTGTTGTTGGGAGTTCACACGTGGTCTTCCATCACCTATAGATATTCATATTATCATACCTGTACCCCAAAGATACACTCACCCCAAGAGAGAGGGATAGCAGACCTCTGTAGGAGGCTTTTATCCTGACCACCCACTCTCTCTATCTATAAGAGCGGGGCGGGTGTCCACATAGAATAGGGTTAACCTGTCTCTCATGGACATTGAGACGGCCCTCTGCAGGCGGAGTGGCCCTTTTCTACATTGGGGGTGTGCGCTCATCTGCGTTGGATTGTCACTTTGCACCTGGAGCTCGGTTGCTCAGCACCAGTCGGGTTCATACCCATCAGGTGCTGCAATGATTTCTGATCACATAGTACATTAGACTAGTGTACTATAAGTACATTGGACTAGTGTACTATAAGTACATTAGACTAGTGTACCATAAGTACATTAGACTAGTGTACTATAAGTACACTAGACTAGTGCACCGTACCATACAAGTGTCACGGCTAACAACAGCCCATTCCCCCGTGCTCGTCAGTGCCGTCAGATTCATTCGATGTGTATCAATGCTGAAGTTTATTCTTGTCTGTGTTCTAAAGTTTATGTTTGTCTTTGTGTTCTATTTAAGGTGGTGCATCGAGATCTGAAGCCCGAGAATCTTCTTCTCGACACCAACAACAACGTCAAAATCGCTGACTTCGGTCTGTCGAATATCATGACGGATGGAGATTTCCTCAAGACGTCCTGCGGATCGCCAAACTACGCTGCACCCGAGGTACTGCTGCGGTAGATATGTGGAGTATTGTATCGTGTGGTTGTGTCCATGGTGTATGAGATAATTAACTTTTAATAGTGCATAGTGTCGATGGTGTATGAGATAATTAACTTTTAATAGTGCATAATGTGAACATTCGGAGTATTGTATCGTGTGGTTGTGTCCATAGTGTATGATTTAATTAACTTTTAATAGTGCATAGTGTGAACATTCGGAGCTGAGAATACCTGTTTACCTATCTGCCACATATCACTCGGGATAAAACTCTCCTGTTTATATTTACGCCTGGCTGTCGCCGTGATACTAGGTTGGCGTAGTCACTGTAAGTCTATAGTATAGACTCCGTCTCCACTCATGTATGTGAGCAACACGCGCGTGTGTGTAGTTGTATCTAGTGGCGTCTATTCCCACTCTTCTCGTCTCAAGTGGGTGGCATGTTTGCACGTATATGTGTGTTTAATGTTCCTGGTAAAGTACCCGCGTGTGTTGTTGTAACTGCATACAAACGTACAACATTCACATATGTGCATGAAAATGCGTCTTCGTGCGATGACACGTATCACACTGGCTGGATATATATACACTCTTGCGCATAAGCACATCATGGA